AATGAATAATGAAACAATTGTTGAATTTAGCTTTCGCGTGTTGTGACGAATTATGCAGATCTCAGTTGATGTTATCTTGCCTCGATACGCATTATTCTTCACATCCTACACAGCCTCATTCAATAATTGCTCAGTATATATTATGACAAAGTGTGTAGAGACTACTGGTACTTAAAATACTATGCCAGATACAGAGTAACTGCTGGATTTGACCATTATGGTGATCAGTAGAGTAACAAGAGCAAACAAACATGCACCTGGATTTTAAATTGATTCATGCTTTCAACTAATTTTGTCACTCAACTTGCAGTTTTCAGTTTTGAAATACACTCTTTCTGGAAATTACAAATGATAAAGTTAAAACTTTCAGACAGACCCATAGGAATACTGTGTCTAATTTCACTTGCCCACTGGGCCACTAGACTTCTATTTTTACTTGCCCAAGATCGAAATTTACTTGCGCCAGGCAATTGGACCTGGACGTTTTCCTACCCTGAATGAAGTTAATACTGTATAATTTGGGGGGAATTTAGTTAAACAACAGCTGGAAGTTTATCAAGTACAATACCTCATATTTACTTGCAATAAGAGAAACAACATTTCCAGAATCGTCATCAAGTTTTCCAGCCACAGCTCCCACATCACTCCACATAGTGCTCAAACTCTACACAATTAAAAACCAACTTGAATAAAATATTATCCATCAAGACGATTCCAAGAACAGCAAGTTGTGTCTCACACCCAGCCACCACACAAAAGGTGGAGATAAAGAAATTGAAAAGAAATTAAGATGATTGAGTGTGTTAACAAACATACACAGTCAAAATGAAAGGCAGTGTAATAATCATTGGTTTGTGAATTTGCTACGTTGTTTAGGGGTTCTAAAAAGGAACCCATCCTTAAATACTGTATTTAATTGATTACATGTCACGGTTTTATTAAGTTTTTAGCATTTCTGATGCCGTGTTTATTCAAGGGTGGCATTTATTTAAAAAAAAAACATGTTTTTTGAATAACTGACAACAATTACAGTAAATCACTTGTTTGTTAATATTATGTTAAGTAGCAATATAGTTAAAGTTTCAAACTGTAAATAATAAAAAGCACAACATTCTAAACATAACAAACATAACACAACATAATAAATTATTAAAATATAAATGAAAATAAAATAAATAATAAGATGGCTACCTGATAAAGAACACTAACGCTATCTGTAACTGCAAATATTGGTAGAATATTGCTATCCCGAAGTTTCTCATGAAGTTGTGCAAGGGAGGGATAATCCTGCAAGAGGGACAAAGCAATATCAAGTCACATACATATCAGTCATGCACCGGGTATCTTACATTGTGATTTAGCTACAACGCCATCAATAATTTCTTCATGAGGAGCTCTTCAACAAAACTCTCAGCATCTTTCTCAGAGGCTAAATAAATTATGAATACATGCAACCATAACAAATTACTGCTACTCCATCCAAAGCAGATACCTTGAGAAAAATTTCTTATAGCAGGCAAAAAAATAGCTTGGCAGGATTTACAAACACGGCAGATAAAAATAATCATGATTTCATGTTGTTAAAGTAGATATGAACTGTCTAACATCTCTTCATATTAAATTAATGCTTTTTTTTGTTAGTGTGGTTTAACGATACCTGTTCATTGGATTTGTCATATTCTCCATTTGAATTAAGGTGGCATTTTCCATCATTTGGAGTGACAATACCCCCAAGCTAATAAAAGGATATAAAAAGAATATCATGAATAACAAGACAATGTTGATCGCAATCACTCTGATTATGGCTGAAGACACACCGGCAATGTGATTTGACTTCAGATTTTTCACTATGTAGATTTGACATTCAACACAACTGGTGCAGCACTCTTCAGATAAAATTTCCCAATGCTCAATTACATATTATCTTTTACAGCAAGTTGATTTTAACAGCAAAACGAAAATATGGTTACCATAGAACAGGGATGAAAATTAACTTTAGTGCTTGGTGGCCAGCCGGGCCAGTTAATTTGATTTTTTAGTTGCCCAGGTCAAAATTAAGTGGCCCTCAACTTCCACTATATTTCCAGAAATGTATGTTTAACGGACTTTAACGGTAAAAGAACTAAAAAAAAATAATGTGCACTGAAATTTATTACAGTGGAACCTTGATTTAACGAACCTCTAAAAAATGAAGTCCTCAGTATAACGGACGATTTTCTTCAGCCTGGCCGAAATTACAATAAAATGTATGGAAGAGAACCTCAATATAATGAACCTCAATTTAATAAAATCCTCATTATAACGAACACATTCCAGAAATGCAAACGTACAATATATCTTGATATAACGAATAAATGTCAACATGTGACCCAAAGACAGCTAAAGATGAATGTGAAACAGACTTACAAGGATAAAATTGATGTGTATAGTACTTTTAAGCAAGTTTGCTTGCCTGTTCTTGTGTTTCTAGTGCCATAGCTATGTACAGCTCGGAACTGACAATAGCTTCGTATACACATGTTTATTACAGAAATTGTTCAGATCCAAAAATGCTGGGTGTTGGAAATTAACATACATTTTCCTTTTTTTCACAAAAATTTGTTAAATCGAGGTTTTAGATATAACAAACCCTCGATATCACCGACAAATTTTCCCAGTAGGTAAATACTGTATACAGCGTTCTCCATAAAAAAGAGCAGCGACATTGACAATGAAATTTAGCTTGCTAATCCAAACAAGTTTTACTGGTATTTGTGGACTAGCATATCAACCAAATATTATTCTAGCTGCTTTGAAATGTTCATGACCCTTGTTTTTTCATAATTTCTGTTGGATTCTGGCTCATCTTCATTATTCCTTGTTTTCTTTCTTGGAGGCAGTTCACAACCAGGGAGAAAAGTCCACAATGTCGTCCTTTCCCAGCAGAAAATATACATATAAATGCCACTGGTGACTTTGCGACCACCATGTTGCAGCCCTTCATAGAATCAATGCTGTTTCTGTGGATTCTATTGCATGAGAGTGGATTTGGAACATGCTTTATAGACTCTGCACAGTCTGCCCGGAGGACCGCAAACTACTTGGCATCCACTGGCCGGGCAACTTTTACATCGATCACCGCCTTCCCTTCAGTTTGCCATCCTCCCCTTCCTCTTCAATCGCTTAGCCGATGCCTTTCAGTGGCTCCTGAAGACCAACTATCACATTCAGGACCTCATGCATTATCTAGATGACTATTTTATGGTTGGCCCTTCCAAATTTATGCTGTCAAATTGATCTCTCTACCACCGCACACCTCCCACACCACCATGTCACCATGAACTGCGAAGCCCATAGCGACATTGATCGGTGGCTACGGCTTCTTCTCCCTTGGAACGGGCATGCCATCATACCAGACCCCCATGGGACAAGAGCACCAAATCTGGAGCTTTTCACTGACGCTTCTGGAAGTATTGGCTATGGCATGTTCTATGCAGGCTGTTGGATTGCTGACCCCTGGCCTCCAGAATCAATCAATCCAATGGAAAGAGCTTTACCCCACTGTTCTCTATGTCTCCTCTTGGGTGATCAGTGGTCTGGAGTGAAGCTCCTCTTTCACTGTGACAATCAAGCGGTAGTGGACATTTGGGCATCAGGCTCTTCCCGAGACCCCCTTACCATGCACCTTGCAGACTCAACCCGCCGCTCCTACCAGGCTGGCATTCAGAGATACTCTGGCTTCTGTGCCTCCAGAGGATGGCAAAGTTTCCCGGCCAGTTGGACCACACTACCCTTCTTTGCCCCCTTCTTGGCTGACCAAGACTTCTACAAGACCATAAAGTTATACATGACAGGCCTCAGTTTTATATACACTGAAAACAGCATACTGAACCCCTTCTCCTCAGCACTGCACCTTCATCTCTTTCTGCGTGGAATCAAGCACACCATGGGGCTCTCATCTCATCAGCACCTCCCTGTAACCATGTCCCTTCTTCGGCAGATTAAGGAGGAGGTATCTCATGCACCTGATTTCTTGCCATCTGATAAACTGATGCTGTGGTTGGCGTTTACATTAGCCTTCTACAACTTCCAGCAGTCTAGTGAATTCACCTCACCTTCAGCATCACAATTCAATCCCCTAGTGCACCTTTGCGCCACTGACGTCTCCTTCACTTCAAATGGGTGCCTTGCAATGCATCTCAAGTAAACCACGACTGACCCTTATCATCCGGGCTGTTCATTATTGTCTGCCCCCTCACATCGTTCAGTCTGTGCGGTCCGTGCACTCAGAAAGTACCTTGCTTTGCATTCAACCAGCAGTGCATCTCCCCTTTACGTCTGGCAGCCACCTTACCAGAACCAAAGTTACTAGTGTTCTTTGCACCCTCCTCCAGCATCTTGGTTTCCCAACAGAACTGTATGTCCCACAGTTTTAGAATCAATACAGCCACCTCAGCAGCTGAAGTTGGCCTTCCCCCCTGGCTGATCCAAACACTCTGACGGTGGTCAAGGCACTGCTTCACCATTTATATTAGAACTCTGCCTTCTGTTCTTCAGAAGTTTCCAAGTCGCTCGGCTGCCACAAACACCTCAGGTCAATGAGCCTGGACCCCTCTACAAGGACATTGCACTCCTAGTTTTCCATAGTCCGCTGGTTCACAAGGCAGTAATTGGGATGTAATTGGGTGCACACCTGCCACTCTTACCACTGCGTAGCAGGCTGGGTGGGGCCCCCACCCCACCTTAGGTTACTCACTTGCATTGCCTCCTTTATTACTACATAGGGTGTGTCGCTGCCACCCTCATTCCATTGAATATTATTGCAAGGGTGTGTCACTGCCACCCTCATTGCATTACCCAGTTTAGGGTGTGTTGCTTCCACCTTTATTGCATGCACCAATGGGTGCCACCCTCGCTTTACCTCAGGTTGCACTCGACAACCTTTAGTCCTATTTACTAACAAAGATTTGTAGTTGCATATTTTCTTTGTTAAAGTTTTAAGTTTGTGACATATGTTGTTTCTGATGTCTCTGTTCATCCTGACAATTTTAATTCAGATCATCTTCTGGTATCTTTTGCTATTAATGCAAAATTCAAACTTCAAAAGAAAGTGAATAGGGAAGTCTTAATTGTTTAATACAAGAAAGCAGACTTTGATGGTCTCAGGAGTACAATAAACCATATCCCCTGGGACTCTGTGATTTTACTCAGTCTCACATTGGTGAGATCGCAAGTGGAATATGGATCAGTTGTGTGGTCGCCATATGGCGCAAGAAACATTGACAAGCTTGAGCGCATACAGCGGAGGGGAACAAAATTTATTTTGGAAAAAGGAATTTTACCTGTGACAAGCACCTAAAATGTCTTAGTTTGCTTTTGCTTGAAAAGAGACACTATCTTTTTGATGTCACATTTTTGTATAAGCCTTTAAATGAATACTTGAATGTGGATGTATCTGAACTTTTATTCTCAGCATGATCCATACAGGTTTAGACATGTTGACGACTATTCCTTGAAGACGAATTTTGCTAGAACGACTAACTTTAAATACACTTACTTTAATAGAATTATTGTTGAAATGTGGAATTCAATACCCTTAGATATTAGATTATCTCCTAGTCTTGCAGTTTCTGTGTCAGGAATGAAGACAGTTTTTAATGTTTTTATTTTGATTTAGTATTTTTCTGATTGTTATTACATATTTATTTATTTAGATTAGCTACATGGTGATCTGTCTCACATGGAGTGTTCCACTCTTTTACAGATTATCCTTATGGCTTTGTTTGTGTGTACATTTAGATTTATTTGCCATTATGTCAAGAGTGACTCATTCTGCTTACAGATACTTTTCCCTCAAGCACGCATAAATTGCACCTATTTGAAAAGAGGTTATATGCAATAGCCTGCTGATCAAAATCTTCAAAATTTATCCAAAAATTTGTTTCAGTATCTTTCAGATTTCATTATGTTTGCTGAGCTGTGTGTTTACTGAGGAGGTTTACTCTACCAAGTAAAATGATAGTTTCTATTGACATTATTCCTGTTGAAACATATTTTCAAATCCACTATTGACACAAAAATAGAATCTATGGAGACAGCATTAAATCTATACAGCCTGGACAAAAAAATAAATTTAAGGCAACAAATATGTACACTTTATCAAAACAATGACTTCTGATTTTGGTGCATAACCTTTACTAAGTAAAAGCAGGGTCCCGAAATTTACACACTGGATACAGCACACCATGTCACAAGTTTCTAGTTGATCTTTTCCACACTATACATTGCATAATCATACTCTGTGGTATATAATCTAGAAAAAATACTAACCTTTCCATCTCCAGCAATGTGGAATGTTTCATCAGAAACAAAAACAACAAGCCGGCGTGAGGTTTCACGTTGACGCCAGCCAATGTCCTGCAGGACCACAAAACTAACTCAGGTTTATGGTAAAATTAAATATTGCTTAATATTTTACATATTATCCTGTCAATGTAACCAGATCTCAAGTCACTATAGCAGAGACCTACTTAAATACAACTTTGATTCTCAACACCTTTGTGACACACTCTGCCTCACTTTCATGCAGTTTAACAACAGAACTGGCCATATATAAATGCTACACTGGCTCAGCAATGTGCTCTTAATAACAAGATCAAGCTTCTCACTATATTAACAGCAGAGTATTTTTCTCTAACCATTTTTGCTACCTTATTAGAGAGTTTCTCAAAACATTGGGATGTTTAGATTGATTATGACGACTGTTCCTAAAGCAAGTAATTTACTTAGGAAGATTAAAAGCTGCTAGGAGCCACTAGTTCAAAGCTAATAGTTTAAGGGAAAGCCAGTAACAGACTTCACTCAGAAATCATTAATAATTTGGCGCAACACTGATTTGCCAGGATTAAATTATGTCAATTTATCAGATGTTAGTATATGCTTGAATTTGAAAAGTGAGGGCCTAACTCAAGAAAATCTGACCAAATCATATTTCATGCTGAAAAGTTGTTTTATATTTCAGGTGTCCACATTTGAGGCAATATTTTGTTAGGCCAACAGCCACTTTGCTTTTAGTCTTTACGTACTTTGATCTAATTTTCCACATTCAAAATATTCAAGTATATAACCAGCGGTTAATTAAAGTGATCAAGTCATCGTTTCTACTGATAGTGAAGGAAAAGTACATCAGTCGGTTAAGACAGGAGTGAATACAGTGCACCCCTACATCCACACTTGTTAATGTTTCCTTATTTAATAACACAGAGACAAAGTTAAATGACTGTAAAGCTGGCATTTGCAGTACAAGTAAGTTGAGAGTAATAGTGTCTAAAACTCAGTCACACTATACACATCATAAGCATTACAATTTGATGTGTTTCCCACATTTTACATTCAACACAGGACTCATCACTCACTCATATCATGCACTCACATTTTCACAGACTGCCACTTGCATTAAAGCATCAAATCCTCCTTCAGGTACATCAAGGTTACCAGAAATGTTCTGTTCCTTAACTCTATCCTGTAGATAAAGCACCCAAAGTCATTGCAAGATTTAACAGCAAATTCAAAAAGAATATTAACCAAATGCCTCCCTCAAATAAAGAAGATGAGTGTCTGGGGTATCCCAGGGCTTCCAGTCTGTCCAGCCAACCTCTAGAAAAAGAACAGTACCCACAGTTGGCAAATCCCCATAACCCAGCCACGAGCCCCATTCCAGGAACAAGCGTTTAAAGTCGAGCTTTCTTGGAGAGCAGAAAAGAAATGATGAGGCAATTAATTTTACACAAAACAGGACTTCCTTACAAAAAGGTTTTCACTTCCTACTTTATCGACTGTTGAGTATTCTTCAGGATATTTACTTTTACTATTGTATTCCACGATTTGCTTCTGAATTGATTGAGTATGCATGTATAAACATATATGCATTTGGTGACAATTATTGTACAAAAATGAAAAATTTTACGGGATTACAGTAAAGGTCGATTTTCATTTTGATTCCACCTTGAACAATAAAGAAAATCAGAACAGACCAAATTAGTATTACCCCACAATGATTGGACTCCATTATCCCTACTTCAATCAACATGTTCTATTTATTATGGACATCCCAAATTAATGCTTCACACAATTAGCAGATCCAGTCGACTCTTGCCTTTTGGACACCTCGCTATAATGGACACCATATGAAAACAGATAGCAGCTAAATCCCAGGCAAAAATAAATTAGAGAAGTTGACTGAAATAAACACCCGCTATTATGGACTCTTGCTAATGAGTTGATTGTATTACACCATGACCTCTCTACAACAAAAAGCAAAGAGCAAACAGCAAGCATGTCTACAATGAAGCTTAAAGGAATGGTTTGACTGTAATCTGGTGATTTGGGCACTAACACTTCATGGTTTCTCAGTAATGTTTGGTAGGTAGGTACTGAGCCATTTAGAAAACTTAATTCCATTCATAGTTAAAAAAAACAAAGAAAAGAAAAGAAAACAATATATTGAATCATTACTGTAAAGTCGAGAAAAAATAAAATCAAGTTACCTCAAATATCTTAGGATCTTTCACAAGGCTGAGAACATTCCTGAAGCCATAGGCAGGGATACATTTCTGATTATCATCACATGGCTTACTTACTCTACAAATTAAAATACAACACCCTGCCAGTTGAAGGGAAAACTCAACTCTATTTTCATTAACGCCTCAAAGAAATCTTAAGGAGAAGTTTATTATTAAAGAGAGCTATTCTAGCAAGCCAAGGTAAAATATTAGAAGAAAAGGAGGTCCATGAAAACACAACCTAATTGACTCTTATACCAAGTTAAATGTCAATTTATTATATACCGAATTAATACCAATTTAGGTCAACCAAAATGATTCAAGTTTGACGGTTGATTCAGACGTCAAACTTAGTTAGCCAGACTCAATTCATTTCCACGATGTTCAATGGTCTACAATGCTCACAAGTGAAAAAAGTTTTTAGTGAATTACATATTAGGTTTGGTACATGAGAAGTTCGACGTTGAAATGAAGTCGCTCCACAGACAAAATTCCCTTGCATGTGGCCCACTCTATCTTAATTCATGGGTCAACCCAAAAGACATGTCAGACTTAATTGATTCAAACGTCAATCTCTTAATTAATGCACTAAATTGAAGAAATTAGGTTCTGTAAATCGAAAGTTTGACGTTTGAACTGGGCCTTACTTCAGATTATTATCCCAGCCTTTTCTTCAAGTACACTAAATAAGTATTATGGGGGTCTATCAGGAATTTTTGTTGTTACTGAAATGAAACTGGCACTAACTTATTGCCCAGGCTGCAGAGGCTGGAACTCAAGGAGGCACCCTAAATTCCCCCGCGTAGAGAAG